TAGGGATGACCGGTATGCTCACAGCGCTCACTGGCTGAGCGCAGTGCGGCCAGTCTCAAAAAAGGACAAATAAATAAAAATAAAAAAATTAAAAAAAAAAAAGAAAAGGGACACTGAGGGCCGAGCCTGTGGCGCACTAGGGAGAGTGCGGCGCTGGGAGCACAGCAGCGCTCCCGCCATGGGTTCGGATCCTATATAGGGATGACCGGTATGCTCACAGCGCTCACTGGCTGAGCGCAGTGCGGCCAGTCTCAAAAAAGGACAAATAAATAAAAATAAAAAAATTAAAAAAAAAAAAGAAAAGGGACACTGATGGGACCTGAGGTGCTGGAGAAGGCTTTCCTAAGAAGGCAAAACTGGAACTAGAGGAAAAGTAGATCCACCATTTGACACTTAGAATTATATCACATCTCCCCTTGCCCTCATATATTGGTTTAAAATTTTGGTAGCCTTTGACCAGCAGGTTAAATAATGGAATTGAATAGAAAATTTGAGAACATTACATATAGTAAGGTAAATCTGGTTTTAAGAAATTTTGTTTCATTTGGGAGGAGAGGGAAGGGGAGAGAGAGAAGGTGTAAAATATACTTTGTAATTTCTATTTCTCAGTGGTCAAAAAAGTCTGAAAAACATTCGTTGCTATATGTTTGTTTGTGTGTTTTGTCTACCAAACTAGGTACTATAATAGGTTACATAGGTTTTCTACCTCTCCATCCTCTCTCCACCAAAGCCAGAGTGTTAATACATCCAGCAAGTGGTAGGGCCACAGTATTGACAATGGGTACCTTGAGGCTTTCAGATCAAAGATATCTGATGAGGCATTAATAACACAATGTTATATTGCTGCTAAAAAGAAGTAAAAATAAATGATCTCACAGAATTACCTAAACATAATTTTATTCCAAATAAAGCTCTTTTTTTCTTTAAAAAACTTTAGAAGAAAAAAATCATAAAAGGCACTCTAAAGATGAAATGTCTATTTTCTACCAAGAAATAAATAGAATTAGTTAAAATCCAAATAAAATTTCTAAATTATATAAAAGAAAGTATGAAAGAAAGAGGCTCACTTTAGAATTAAGGAAGGGGTGTGTGTGGTAGGGGGTAAAATCAACCAAGAATTTGGTTGACTACATCCTGAATATTTAAAAATAAAAATTCAGATTCCCTAATGACCACAATAATGCTTTTCAACTAAAGCAAAATGAAGTTAGCTAGGGAAGGGAAATAGGCAGGAAATGAAGATAAACAATTAAAGCAGAGTCAGAAGATGGAAGTGATCTTAAGAGGTTTTCTTGTTAATCACCTCCTGTTACCCAGAGCTATATATTAAACCAATGTTTCTCTGAGGACTATTCTAACAATGCAAGGGGACTTAACTAGGAGGACTAGAGCTGAAAGGAGAGGTGTTTCATATAGTAACGTGCCCAGCAGCTCCTTGCATTTAATCCCTCTTCATTGCACTACATCTTTTCTTCTAATAGACACAGGGAAAGTGCAATGACATTACATTTTTTTTTTTAAGATGCATTTGATCACTTCATTTTGCCATGATATTTAAAATTTTTAGCATGTTTTATTTTTAAAGCACAGACAGGAATTCTCTACTTGGGTTGAAATAAAAGGCAAAGTCCTGATCCCATTAAAAAAAATATTTCATATTAAGCCTCTGAACAGCCCATTTTTTTTTTTAAGATGCATTTGATCACTTCATTTTGCCATGATATTTAAAATTTTTAGCATGTTTTTTTATTTTTAAAGCACAGACAGGAATTCTCTACTTGGGTTGGAATAAAAGGCAAAGTCCTGATCCCATTAAAAAAAATATTTCATATTAAGCCTCTGAACAGCCACTTTAAAACACCACTTACTGCACCCCTTGGGGCTCAGGCTGAGCTAACCTTAAGCTAAGGCCATTGCTTTAGATAACTCACTGTTACAACTTGAGTTCCTTTAGGATTTTTATGTGACTAGAAGAAAAACAAAAGGAGAAACATTTTTCTTGGCTCTAGGGAACATATATCCTGATTGATGTCTAACTCTTAGGTACTGCAAGCAAAAGCATTCAAATTCTCAAGCTCTGATTTGCTGCTATGGAAAACAGTTCAATTTATAAGTCGTACCGCTTAAAGTTTTAAGTAATGAAAAGGGGGATCTTTTCTTGTAAACAGCCAAGGTTCTAAAAGGAAAACTTTAATTTATCTAATAGTTCCTGAAAAGCAACATGAAGAAACCAAGTCCTTACCTTACAAAAGAACTGGACATGAGTCCAATGAATCCAACAGCAGCACCCATGACAGCTGTTTTCCGACAACCAAATATGTCTGTGAAGACACTGACTATTGGGCAGCAAAAAAAAATCATCCCCATGGAGAGAGAACTCACCCATGCTGTAAAACAGGGGGAAGAAAAGGAGGGGGGAACATTATGACATGATATTTGTACTTATTCCAATGAATATAATACACACTTAGAAAAATATTAATGCAGAAAAGCTATTACCCAGATTGGTAAGTAGTGGGGAACCTAGAATAAATTGGTGACAAATATGGATCACAGCTCAAAGCACTGGCTAATGCTAATTGTAAATAGCATAGCAATTGCATGCATTTAATCAAATTCTTTAAAAGTTTGTACTTTTAAGTAAATTAAACATTCCCCTATGACCCTAGCACTACCAATCTCTACTTTGATATCTGTCTATGATTTTAAACAACTTCTAATCTATGGAAAGAAATCCGTTTTTAAAAAATTAAAGAGATATGTTTAGGAATGTATACCTAGGTGGGCAAACTGCAAAGAAATGATGACCACTGAAATCAGGATAGCAGTTACCTCTCGGGGAGAGGAAGAAGATTATAACCATTTGAACCCAGTAATTAAGAAGTGATCACTTGCATAGGGACTGGGCTTACTTCTTTTGCTGAGGATATTGGTTCATATACTAGTAGACTATTTGTTGACCTGGATAATGGTTACTAGGTATTCACTTTATAATTATGTATAAAACTATTGTAGGGGCCAAGGGTAAACTTATTCTTCACCCCTGAAGGTTCATGAATCAAAATCACTTAACAAATTGAGATTAATATGAAGAAAATGCATAACAAATTTTATTATTTTAACATGCTGGGAGGCAGCAATGCATGGGGGAATCACAGAGAATTATTTCCCCCAAATCTCAATAATCCGATTGGGGTACAAAGCTTATATACCAATTTACATGGAGAAAGGGGAGATGAGGGGTGTAGGCGTAAATGATTTTTAGGGGGACTTCATGGGCCTGGAGAACATTCAATGGCCTGGGACAAAGTCTGTTTGGCCCACAGAGCAATGACTGGTAAATGATTCTCTTCAAAATACTGAATGGGACCAAAATAGAAGACAATGGTCAATGACAAAAGTCTGTCCAGGAATGCTGACAGACTCCAGTCTTTCTTCCTGTGATATGAGTTAAGTTAATGAAAACTCAGGGAAAGGACCAGAGGTAATTGTCTTCTTCTTTGGTGGGTCTGGACTTTAGGCAGATAAGGAAACAACTTCATCCTGTGCTTTGGAGAGAGACAGAGGATTGAGAGACAGAAGGGGGTAGGGGTGGAGTCCTTAAGTATGTTACCTTTCACAATTAAAAAAAAAAAATTAAGAATCAGAAGTTATAACTTCCCGTTCTGATTCTATAAAAACCCAAACAACAGAAAACCAAAGACAGAGCAATAAATAGTGAGTATAAATAACTATATTTTGTGCCAAAGAAATGAATGATCTCATAGAATATCAAGTCTTCTTCTAAAAAAGTATAATAAACCAATGGGGCCTAAGTGAACATCGGCTGTAGAACAAACAGACCTGAGTCAAATGCCCAGCTCTAAAACTACAATATGTCCTTGAGCAAGTCACTTCCCCTCTGAATCTGATTTTTTATCTTGAAAATAGATCAAATATATACCTTTCAAGAATTATTAAGGATTAGAGAAAGTATATCTAAATCCCAGTATCTGACATATAAGCACTTAATAATTTAGAGTTTTAACAACAATAACAAATTGTCTGCATTATAAAATGAAGTAGGTGATCTCTAGAGCTCCATCCAGCTCTGAAAGTCTCCTAGTATACTACTCTATTTTCTTAGCAAAGGAAGTAAGCCGAACCCATATACAAATGATCATTTCTTAATAATTGGGTACAAATGAAGCTTTACCATACTAATAATTTCAGTTAATTCTTTGCCTTCTTATATTTTAAATTATTTTTTAATTTATGTGTATTTTAGTTAACTATATTTCTATTTCTATATTTCTATTTATTCCCTTACCAGAAAAAAAGACTGCGATCTTAAAATAAAACATAACGAAGAGACTGTACACAGTGCCATCTTGACTTAGATATTGGTGACAGGATTCAGAAGTGGACAGTAAAGAGAAGCTGATTGGCCAGATAAGTTAGAACAACCCAACCCCAGACATGCACAGCCAACCAGTATAGGTGTGCCTGAGGAGAGCTATGAATTTTTTAGTCTACTCTCTTATATTAAAATTTCTCTAATCTCACTGGAAGAGAAGACATTTAAAAATTTTTTTTACTAATTTGTAATAATTTAATTCCATTTGAATAAGTTTAGTCATCTATCATGTTTAAGAAACAATCTAATATTATAACTAGGCAGACAAAATGAAAAGCTTCCTAACATCTATTTTTAGATAAAGACACTGTTACAGTTAAGTAAGGTGTCAACACTAAATAGTAGACCATATCAAGAAATCTAAGAACATGTACTTATATAGCATTTAATGCTCATATGAATCAAGGTACTCTCAAGGAAAAAAAAAATCCTTACACAAGTCTTTGTGCATTACTGTGAATTTTGATCTGCTACACTAAATATGAAAACTTACATATTTTTATGTCTACTGAACAAGCACTAACAGTGGGATATAATCAAATACAACTTCTTGTCTTCACTAACCTCTTAAAATATATTCAGTGGGGAAAAGTTTTTCCCTGCCACTACATGACTTCAGCAGGCCCACATGATTCTTTTGGTCAATGTCAAACAACAGAAAGCCCTATCATCACTTTAGGTAACAAGCCTATATCCACTTGGCCATCAAATCTTTTCCCCAGCCCCAGGGAAGCTGGGAAGGGATTGAGATCAGCTGTTTCTCTTCTCTTCTCTTCCATGACCTCCTCTCCCCTACCCTAGCTGTCTGTTGTTTCCAAGGTGAGCATGGAAGAGGGAGAGGCTGTAGGAAGGAAGGCAAGGGGATTCCAGCTTGTGTGGTCCTGCCAAAAGACCTGTCTGATGATGCTGGAAGCTGACTCTTTTATCTCAGATGTACTTTTGTGGGTTCCTCAGAGCCTCATCTGAGTTCCTTCTGGGATATATCTCCACTGACTTAGATAATTCATTCTTCTCCTGGCTTTTTGGCTGTCACTCAAAAGACCCACTGTCCGAGACACATTGCTCTTCTAGGCAGTCTACTTGAGCAGGAGTCAAAACAGCTCCATACCACCCCTTCTCCTCCATTAGGCCTGCCTCTGATCTGCAGGAGACACATTTACTTTGCACAGACAAATACCGAGTGCAAGTAAATTCCACCACAACCACCTCTTGTATAGCTCTTGCTGTGGAAGCAGTTAGCCAGCCACACATCTCTCCATGTTGGATTTCTCAGGGAGTCAGACCCCAGTTCCTCTGTGTACCCCCCAACTGGGGGGAGCTCTTTAAATTTATAAGTGGTCTCTCGAAAGACCCTTTCAGTAGATACCATGTGAGAGAGAAAGTACCTCCATTTAATGGGTAGGGGAAAGCCCCATAAGAATTTTCTCAAGAATCCTCACAAAATTCTGTTTCTTGACTCATAAGTATCCTTCTTATGGGCTTAGAGCCTCTAACTGGTTCTTGAACACCTACTTTGAAAAGCCACATGAAATATCTCACTTTCGAAATTCACACTATTGTACCTTAGTGCCTCAGCTAAAATTCTAAAAGAATATTCTGTTACAATAATAATTAGTAATAGATAAAGTTAGGTCTGTCTTCTGATCAAATTCAAGGAGAAATTAATTCTTAAATGAATAATTACTTGCCACTGCAAACTCATAAAATTTCTAGTTTTTGAAAGTTTTAACATGGCACCCAAAGAATCCATGGTCTTATGGGTTATATACACTATAAAAATAAAATGGACAATTGTTCTCTTTTACCCCTTCCAAGTCTGACTATGATTATTAATAAGAAGGATTCAGTAGAGCTAGCTATTATGCTGATAATATATTTGTTGTGCTCAGAAGATTATTTCATTTAATCCTCAAAACTCTATAAAGTAGTACTTTTATTAAATTCATTTAACAATTGGGAAACTGAAATACATAGTCACTATATCCAACATGAAAAAATTTTTATTTAAAAAATGCAAACTAGGCCTAGTGCCTCTATGTCATTTTACCAAACACCCACATACAGTTTTCTAATGTTGATGAAATAAATCTTTTTCAATGGAAAAGGTGCTATTTAAATTAGTTGTATACTGTGATATGAAAACACAACATTCTCTTTCTTTCTATTAAAAGTGCCTATTTTATTCTAGGCACTATCCTAGGCTGTTGAAAATAAAAAAACAACTAAGAGATTTCTCTACCTTCCAACAATGTTCAGTCTAATAACATATATGCAAATAGAGGCCCAATCAGAACACCAGATAGAATATTCTAAATATCTTAAGAGATATAGATGCCAAAAAATGTGTAAGAAAGGCTTTAGAATGTGCTTTTGAATACTCTTATTTGAATATGTGTGTACGTTTGATGTTGTAGAGGCACATCCAAGAAGCAATGCAGAAAAATCTTTCTCAGAAGAATATCAGGAAGCTTTCCAATTTCCTCAGGCAGACCCTTTTTGTTTCCTACTCCACTCTCAGAACAAATCCCTAGCTCTCAGTGTACAGAGGATGCAAATCACTCAAGGAAGTGGTTAGGTTAGGTTTAATATTTAAGAAGATTTTCCTGATACTAAGTAAAACAAGGTGTTGTAATTATGCAGATGTAAATGATTGCAAGAGCAAGGTATTTACAATTGAAAACACCCAAAGGGAAAATTTATTGTAGCTAAAGGTTGATTAATATTCTTTTGCCCTTTTTGGTAGCTCCAACATGTATTTCCACTTAATATTGGCCTCTTTCAAGATATCTTTAGTCTGTAATAACTCAACATTGGTCTAATAGCCTTAAGTTAAATGAAATAATAGTATGCAAGACTGAGATTAAAATGCAAAATAGTATTTAACAAAATCTCAATGATTCCTGGAACATGGAGCTGTCTGGCAACTTCACAAAAATTAAGGAATGGGTAGATTGTACTTTCCATGGCCATTTTATCACCACCCTAAAAGAT